CTAATACTAACCCTAATAACAAATACCCGACAAATAAAATCCGGCTACCATTTTTTGGTGGCGACGCTATGTAAGTCGGGTGGTATCCCCCGGTATAATGTTACATTTTTTCAATTATAAATAATAGATAGAATTTATGCTTTATACAAATAAATATTTATTTCTTTATTAAAATTAAAAAAAAGGTTTCTAAGTTTATTTGTGAATTTTAAGCATATATCGAGAATTGGATATGTAACGGCATCTGTATTATGTGATAAGATTTTATAAATGATCGTCAAAATTGTGATAAAATATAGATGTCCGCTATGCTTATGATTGTCCTTGAGATCGTTAACATCCGTGCGCATATAACATCATCTATAGCATAAATAGCGCAATCCGCAAAATTTTTTTCTTTTTTTTTTTTTATTAAAAGACAAGTTTGGAGGTTTCGCAACGTACATCAAAAGCCATACTTTTACAAGTATTATGATATACAGTATATTCTATTTGAAAAATTTATTATAAAAATCTAAAAGTCTTACAATTCACATCAACTTATATTTACAACTAAAAAAAAAAAAAAAAAAAAAATTCCTTAAAAAAAAGGGAAAATAAAATAAAAAAAAAAATAATAAAAAAAATAAAAATAAAAAAAAAATTCAGAAGATTATAGTTACAAAAGTTTGTTATGTATGAAATAAATATTTAAACTATTTATATAAATCGAATAAAATCGATCTTAGGAGCGAAAGAAAAAAAAATGATGTATCAATAAAATAAAAATAAAAAAAGGTTTAATAAAAATAATCTACAAATTTGCCAATTCCTGTCAAATTCATTCATTCTAATCCCGACCCAAAATTAAAAACAAGATCCCCAATGCCGTTATCACCACCTACGTCTCTACCACCGCGTTGCAATTCAATCACACTATTACTTGGTAATTCAACTTCGTTATCACCATCTGGTGAAAAAAAGAAATTTCCTTCTTCACTTATAAAGTCTTCTGTATTTTGTTCGATTCCCTTAGTGAAAGTTTCAACTTCGCTAAAAGTGGTTTCAGATGTGTTTACCGATGAAGAAGAAGAAGTGGATCTTGTAAACGATAGCGTATGTGGAGTAATTGTAGCATTACTCGCTAAGATATTTGGAGAAATATTAGCGTTGTTTAACTTGGATGATTTTAATACAGTCGATGACATATAAGGATTGATATTGTTATTAGCGGTTTTGGTAGGGATATTGTTGGCAATATGAATGTGATATGCGTCCTCAAACGATAATGGTGTAATTGCTAATATATAAAGTAATAAATGTTTTAAACGTTCAATAAAAAATTTGTGATAAATAAGAAATAATTGATGAAATAAAATTGTACTTACATAAGTCTCCTGAATTTGTTTGCGCATGTCCGTTAATGAAACCATTTGACGTACGATCTTTAGTTTTTGTGCTAACAGCACTCAATGTTGGACTAGATGGTGAAAAATCGAGAGAAGTACGCATGGCAGATGATAGACTCTCAGAAATATCGCCACCTTTCCCAATAGCTTTACCAGCCTGGATAAGGACAGCCTTACTTGTTCTACCTTGACCGCGCACATCATAATTGCCCTCTCCGTTATTTACCCACCCATTTACCCCCAAAGAACTTGTATCGCTAGCAACTTCATCTACCATTTCGACACGTTCAACTATGTCCCTTCGAACTTCAATTTTCCTCGAACGTGGTATTTCACCTTTACGAATGGTTTCCAAATGACCGGTTAAAAATGTTTGAAAGGTGAATTGAGGACTAGCCCACAAAGGTGGTGGCAATGAACTTCTAGAGCTGGTATGTGTGGAAATTTCAGCATTCGCCAACCATTTATTATTATTGCCATCTCTTTTAGCCAATGTATCAGAATGTCTCGGTGCTTCAAGAACATTTTTAACCTCGGCCCAATTATTACCACGTAAAATTTGCCATTCAGCAACATCTTCATAATTCGTAATCATATCTAAAGTGCCAGCTTCCTTTCTTGTGACTCCTGTAATCCCCCTTCCCATTCCTACAACAGTCGTTGCACCACCAACCAACACTCTACCAACATTTGCTACAGCAGCTGCACTACCAGCCAAAGGTGTACCAGCCATTGTAATTAAATTGTTCGATTCTTGACTATCTCCTTGACGTGAGGAGGAATTTTGTTCTCCGACCACAACTCCTTCCATCCATATTCTATGCAAAGTTAAAACACCAGCTGGATGAAAACTTAATACATCCTGATACCCAATATCTTCTTGTTTAGATTCTAAATCTTCCACTTCAAGATATTGGCGACCGGAATTATTGGCGGCCGGCATATAATTCTGAGACCATGATCGAGTTCTTCTTCGTCCACTTTTGTTATGAGAATTTGCAGACGCTTTTCCATCATAATTAATGGATGTTCTTTTGGCTTGCCTTTTTGCTTTTAAATTAGCAAATAAAAGTCCATCATGATTAGCTGTTTTAGAATTATCAGATAATGAAGGAAGAAATTTAATGCACATTCCCGGGGGCTTCCTCATAAGATAGAAAGGATTCATAGGAAATCCGTTAGGAAATGATAGATTTGATTGTCCATTAAGATGATGATGAGAAGACATATTATTAATATTGTTATAATAAGGCAATGGACTGAGATGACGTGAAGGACTAGTAGTTGTGGAAGAAACATTTGATTCAGGAGGTGGGAATGAATAATATTCATGAGGATTCATAGGAAACATATTATTTGAATTTTGTGAAGATCCGCTAGCAGCTACATCAATTGGATCCGGTGGTAAAGGGGTACGTGGCTTAATTCGCACAACTGGAGATTGTGTAATCGAACTATACGGTTCGTCAACATTTTTAACAAAACCCGATATATGAGAGGGTATATGAGAAGGTCCTCCATAAGGATTTATTGCAAATATGTGAATCGTTCCTTTACCACTAGCTACAGCACACCACCTGGAATCCCCACTCCATCCAACGCCACCTTCACCTACACTAGCATAAGTATAACCTCGTGATAATATATACATATGTTTTGTGCTTTTGTGATTTCTATCTCGGCGATGCTTACCAAGAATCTCAAAAACATGAAATTTGCTACCTTGAACAGAAGTTGAAAATAATAAGGTACCGGAAGGGTTAAATGATAATTGTCCAACGTGATGGGTATGTGGGGCAAAGTGTGCAACAATTGAAGGTTCCTTAGAACCATACGGTGCGCCAATGTCACGAATAATTATCTAAAGAAAAAAAAAAAAGGATTAAACCTTGAAGGAATTAAAATATTATGTCTCAAAGAACCTATTACATACTGCTCCTTTGGTTCCGTCATCTTTGTCAATTTCAATTCCGTTGTTAACCGTAGCGATAAAACCATTGCTATTATCACTGCTATAGCTACCAACGCTACCAGTTCTCGAATTATAATAATAACCATTAGATGGACTAGGTGAAGGAATATTGATTGGCATGGAAGAAGATTGCTTTATTTTTGTTATAGATTGTGAGTTTGACGCATTCGCAAAGTAGGCTGAAAGTGTCTGATATCCATAATCCCCTTTTTTAAAAAAAATAAATTTAATTTTTTTTTCTTTAAATAAAAAAAGGGGAATAAAATGTTAAAACATCCTACCCAGAAATTTTACACCATTCACGACTTCCTTTGCAACTCCCTTAGCAACATCTTGATATTTAGCTGAAGAACCACCGATTAAATCATCACCATCTCTATAGTCGCCATCCTTCTTACCATCAGATTCAAGCGGCTGACTAGTTGTTGCATATGCCAACAACCTGGGTCCCAATGTAAAAACTGGAGCTCGATTCGATGGATGAAGCGCGACATCATGTAATGGTGATTTAAATAGGGGAGCCAGTGTCAAGGGTGATATTATATGTAGTTTTGCAGGAGTGTTCATACCGATAACAATCGCTCGTTCGTTACATCTTACACCAACGATATTTCCTTCATTCTCGAAGTCTAAAGTATGCACAACTTGATGTGTCTTTAATGAATAAAATTTTAACGAACTTTTTGGTTTTGAAAATGGTTCTTGAAGTCCATTTTCACGTGTTGAAGTCGATATCGAGCTAAAATGAATAAATAATGATATTTAATTATTGACAAAACTACAATCAATTCTTATTTATATGACTTACACTAAACCAACTAGCGGCCGAGCTTCTGCAAATTTATCACGAACATGTTCCGAAGTATAATGTGGATTCGGTATAGACTATAACGACAAATGAAAAGGAATTAGTATAAAGTAATTGAATAGAATATATTTTATTATACAAACCTTAATATACGTGACTTCACCGAGCTTTTCTTCGTCTCTTATAGATATGAGTTCGTGGATATTATCCACACTTGATACATTCCATATCTGAAATCCATCAGGATAACCTAACATAAGAACAGATTGACTGATTTAAAGTTTTAACAAGTAAGTAAATTTCAAATTTGATATTAATTAGACCAAAAACAGTTTGATTCAACAATTACCTTACTGATGCGTTAGGTTTGTTAGAAGATGCAAAGACGATTTCATCAAAACCAGCATATACTATAACATCCTTTTTTTTTTTTTCAAACTTCCCATCAGTAACTGAATGATTTTGTGGATCTGTATCGCTAGCAAACTGCTGTGGTAAATAATCTGAATATTGATGATTTAATGGGTGCTGATAAGCATTATGGTCAGGCGTAGCTTTACGTAGTGAAGTAATCGAAGTAGGTAAATATGAAGAAAGTCCATATAAAGCTGAAGAAATGGACTCTAACGCCGAGGGATCTCTGATAATAGAAGAGGTAATTAGAACTGTCATCTTGAAAATAGGTTAAAGTGGCTTATAAAACAAAACATTCAACCAACTTTAAAAATCTTGGGTCAGCCTTGACCCCGGTGATATTGTTAAGTTGAGGAATTGAAGACATTATATAAGCTAAGAAAATATAATATGTATATAAAGTTGGAAATAAAAAATAAGTCTTGTTTATTATAAATTTTTTATATTATATTAAATATTAGAAGTTGTGCTTCAAAGGATAAAGTGAAAAAGAGAGACTAATGTTTTGGGAGTTGGGTGAAGGGGTTTTATCTATTAAAGTAACAGTTTCCCGCGTATAAGTCCAAATCCAAATTCGGGAAATAATTATTTGTCACTTGTGATTATGAAAATAGTAATACCATTTAAATCGTGATGAGTAGTTGCTGCGTGAATGATGTGCAGATGACCACATCAATCCCTTTTATGGTCATTATGACTCTTTATTACACGTAATATATTACACGTAAGATTCTTTAACCAATTGGATACGAAAAATGACCACCTCGAAGAATTTAGAAAAAGGCAGAAAAAGAATATGGAGAGGCTGGAGAAGAGTTGAAAAAGTTCGAGGAGGAAGGAAAGTTGAATGACTGGAGGGCATGTTGTTGGACTTCCGGCCGGCGAACTCGTGAATATTTCACGCATTACCTACAGGAGATAGATGAAAAAGCACGCCCCGCCAGAATAGAAAAATTCAAATTTCTCAGAGTCTTGCTGGAAAAATTCAAATCGAAGCATTTGATATGCAAACTGAAGGTAATATCATCACGTTAGAACAAGTTGATGTTAAGTTCAACCATGTTGCACAAAATCGAGTTGGAGAGCTCAAAAGGGCTGGGCGTGTTTATGGGATATGTTAGACATAAAAGTGCTGGGCTTTCAATGTATAGATAAGGAAAATAATAATGCATCTTGTTTTTCTTATTCTATTTTTTTAATCACTTTTTATCATTTATAGATTATATTGTTGATTATTATGTCATGGACCTTGTCCAAGGAAATATATGATGATTAATATCGGACAAGTATTTGTTCCAGCATCCCTAAAGGATATGTCTTCATTTTAGATAATATTGAATTATCTTTAGGAGTAAAAGATATTTTTCGCAAATCTTATGAAAATCGTCTTTGTAATCCAAGATCATTAACAAAAAAAGCAACATTCAGACAAGAATCCCTTTGCACCCCAAAGTTCCGACAGCTAGTCAGTAAGACACATAATGTTAAGAGAAGCTGTCCATTTTGGTTTGTCCATTTTGGTTTTTGGATTTTTTTAAAATTTACATGGGAAATTATTTTTTTAACCAATATGCAAAGTGATCGGCGTGAAGAATTCTTCTTGCGCACGTGATATTTTATTCATTGATTGGAATTAAATAATTCTAACAGATTTTCCGCTACTCGGCCTTTTCTCAAGAAAATTATTAAAATTAAAAATTTTTACGGTTGATCTACTGTACATTCCCCTGATGTGGGTCATGGGAAAATTTTACTAATATAGTAATGACTAATTTTTTTATGAATTTTTAAATTTAAAATTCCTTAATATTCAAAATTTTTTTTTATTAAAAATTTATATTAATAAACTTTATTTACATTTATTAATATCATGTGAGGTGTCCTTTAGCTTTAACTACAGCTTGAATACATCTTGTCATACTTTCAACCAACATCTAATTTAAATCATATAAATTGAATAATTTGGTTTCATTTTTTGGCAAAGGAAATACACTTATAAATATGATATTTTAACTCATTTCAAATATTTTCAAAAGGGTTAAGAGAAGTTGATCAATATTATTTTCTGAAACCCAGCTTAAAGTTGAATCTTGTATAATGAATTCAAGTGTTATCATTCTAAAATATATAATTATTTTAATTATTTAACCCTTCTTAATAAAGTAGCAAATGGGTATTTAAAATATTAATATAATCATTTTTATTTTATTTATCATTAATTCAACTAAAGAATTTAAATTAAATGAATTACATTTTCAAACCATTACACCTTTACAAATTAATTTAAAATTCTCAGTGAAAAGAAATATTAATATTGCAACTATTTTTAGCTGCAATATTACTATTATTCTAATTCAGGTCATTATTTATATTACTGAATTAGATAATAGAACGTTTATTTATAAAATAAAATTATAAAAAAGATTATTATTATTATTTACATTTCATTTAAACTTACAAAAATACTGAGTTCTCTTAAAATACAATGGAATGTCATTAAATCACTTTAGTAACAAAGCATACTGTATATAATGCAAAGAAACTTTTTGATCATTTAAATATTTTTTGATGCTCTTGTGAATATTGTTAGCAAATTTTGTAAAGCTGGCAATAATTCTATAAATCACTCATCTGAATGTTCAAAAAATTATCATTTAAAAAATATTACTATATTGAAAAAATTTTAAAATATAACCACTTTATAATAGCAGACAAATTTAAGATAAAATTAAAAAAAAATAATATTAAGCTTAAGGTCAGTAAATATACAATATATCACAAAGCTCAAAATTTTAATTCAATTCTTTTAAGAAAAGTATCTCTCTTGATCTAAAAAATGAAGGATGTTCACTTGTTATAGGCATATGAACATTTACATTACAACTAAAAAATGTTATTTTTCTGATAAAAGAATATTTCAAATATTTAATAACACTATTCATGCATAATTTCAGGATGCACAACCAGTTGCTTCTATAGTAAAATATCTATTCAAAATTCATATTTAGATAGCAATTAGTGTCAAAAAAAATTAGTATTTATCTATTCACTAAAAATTTAAATTATCATTTATACTAAAAGATCTTAGATGATTATTTATATGATAATATAAACATGTTATATAGTCATAACTGAATTTACTAATAAGATAATCATTCAAAAAATATATTATGAAATGTTTAACATAACTTGAAAGAATGTCTTTTAAGAATTCTAAAATAAAGTAAAAGTTCATTGTATGAAATAATAAATTTTAGTTTAAAATATTTGAAGAAATTGATATAATTATATTTAAAAAAACCCAAAGAAAAATATATTAATTATTTAGTTCTGATATTTATAATCTTTAGCGAAAAAAATGGTAGATAAACTTTTTAAAGGTATATAAAAATTTTTTATTATTTAATTTTTTTTATTATTTAAAAGACTAATACTAATAAAATATTATTTAATATTTAATTAATATTATATATAGCCTCTTTTTATATTGATGTATGCTTGAATCTAATTTAATATATTTTTAATATACTAAAATAATACAACATTTTTAAGATTGTCACATTCCTACTATACTATAGTAAGAAAAATATTTTGTAAGATTTTTTTTTGCTATTATATTCTTACTTTTCTCTTTATTTTTTTCTTTAAAATAAACTATAAATTCTTGATAGAGTTCAAATCTAGGCTATATAAAGGTCATTAAATTATTCTTATACTTAGTTTAAACGTATTTTATAATTTTTTATTTATAAAGATTTTCTTTTATCAATTCAATTATAAAATTCTTTCTTATAAAGGTATCATTATATAATATATAAAAAAATATTAGTAAAGATTGATTTAATAAATTTATTAATTAAAATATTTAGAGAAGATTTTCTATTTTTTTTATTATTAAATACAAAAAATTCAAAGCAGCAATTGAATTTTCTAAAAGTGCATGCTGTCTATCACTAAGAATATTAGTATATACCAAAAAACTTTGTTCTACATTTACTTCAGATACCAGAAGTCAAATATATTCTAAAGCTAGTCTTGCTAAATTCAATAAACTTTTAATTTTATTTTTTCAATAAATATTTAAATCAAACTCACCATCATCAAACTCTTCTTCTAAACTATAATAAATTCTCCATTCTTGCATAATTTGATCTGTTAGATTTTTAAATTCTTGAATTTTCAAATATAAACTAATATTATAATAATATTGTTGAGCACGAATATAATGTGAATCAAAGCATTGAATTGCTTTAAATAAAGGTATGCTAAATGATTGTCAATATGTTTTTTTAACTTGTTAAAAGCTAATTAATAAGCTTCTTAAAACATTATAATAAATACTGATGAATTAACTTTTTCTTCCAAAAATTTGGTATATATCTTATTACTAAAAGAAAATTAAATAATATTAGATTATAATGTAACCTCAAGATATGTCAAGCGTTGAGTTACAAAAGGAGCAATAAGTTTATTTTTAATTTTAAAAAATTCAAAATCATCTACAATACTATATGAATAAATATAAATTAGATTTGTATATATTTTTTTTAATATAAATAAGGAATAAAAATTAACTTATTGCTTTGCATTAAATGAAATAAACATAACTAAAATTTCAAATGTAAAAATATGTAATGAATTTTTAAAAATTGTTACCAATTCTTGAACAGCTCTACTTTCCTCATTAATGATTTCTTTTTCAATATAAAATTTACATAATTGTGATATATGTTAGTTAATCTAAAATCAAACTTAAACTATGAGTTTTCACAGGTAAAAGTAGTAATGTAATTGAATTTTGATTAGAAGGAGTTGTGGTAGAAGAAATAAAGAAATTTAAAAAAACAGTCTATCTTTTTTTACAAACAGGATAATAAATGAAGAATTTTTTTATATTTGCTACAATTTTAATTAGAAACTTGAAACTTTTATAACTAATCCAACTAAGTTTAAAATATGAGTTAAATAATAATTATACTTTAATTGGGAAATTAATAAAGATAATATTTGAAAGGTTTTTATCATATATGCTGCATTATCAGAAATAAAAAAAATAAGATTATTATTAGAAATATTATAAAATTGTAAAGTTTTTATAACTAATTGAGCAATAATAGTACTATTAATGGTATCATTTAAAAATTCTGTTTTGACTAATTTAGTTTGGTTACCAAAACCAAACATTATATTAACAGCTACCTGATCACAAACATCTGTTGTTTCATCAATAGTAATAGATATATACCTATTATATACTATTTCTTGCATGCTAGAAACCTTCAAATTAAAGATAATTAGCAAATATTTTTCTCATAATAAAAAAAAGTTTGCAATAGCTCTACCTATAATATAATTAGTGAGTTAATAATATATTAAATGATAAATTAAATATAAAATATATTTTACATGCCATTTTTATAAAATTCCAAAAAAAAATCTTTAAGTTTATCTATTTTTTCAAGTAGTATGTCTTTATGTGTAAATGCTTTTATTAAAGCAGTATTAAAGACTTTATATTCATTTAACTCATTATTATTGGCATTGAGAGTGGTTTGACAAGCTCTTATTTTATTTTTAGCTTTGCATACATTTTTTTATATTTGTCCAATTTTAAATGTATATCTAATATAAATTATTTTATGGTATCACCGGGTTCGTTTTCATTTATCTTAACCTCTAAGTTAAAGGTTGCAGCAGCTGATTCTACACGTTAGAGTTTCCGACCTTAGGATTTTCTCTAAGTCCTATAGGTATCTGTTATACTTAAATCAACTTGGCAATTTATCACATCTTAGAATTTAAGATATGTTAGTCAAACTCGTAATGACGAACTCAATAGCAAGTTAGTGTAGTGTATCACAACAAT